AACAGTAAATGTTCCCTTTAGACAATTTGGCTGTTGTGGTGCGGTGAATCCCAAATTATTCTGCGATGATTTGCACAAGTCAAATAAAAATGACTAATAAGTTCTTTAAAAATGATTCCTGAGGCCCTCAAATGCGTAATTTGGTGTTTCTTACCTTTATACTGGAGAAGGCCAACAAAGCTTTGTTCTGGAGATTGACTCTTTGGTTGGTTAACTTGACATCCAACTTTTTACACACACGACTGAACAAACCTTGCACACATACAGTGTATTGCAATTTACTTATAAGTAATATTAAAGAACTACCGTGGTAATATCTTTCTTAAAAAACCTATCTGCTTTTATTAAACTACTATTTCATCATGAAAAAGTAATATTTGAAGAACTATGTTAGAGGTTCATACACTTTAAAGCAGCAGTGTATCAATGACCATCTTTGTTATTATTTACTAATAAACCAACATTGTATATTTTTATATACATTTAAATACATTTCAATTGCAACTAATCATGCTGTTAGGCAGTAATATTGCCCACTATTGGCACTGAGAATATTAGATTCAAAAACAAATGCATGATTGTGTTCATGGAATATTCATGAAAGTTTCAATTTTACATATTTTATCACACTGATATTCACATGCCAGAAAAGTGCATTTTATGAGTCACTGATTCCTTTAAAGAAAGTTGACTGCTAACTAGACAACAAGTGAACTGTGGGAAAATTAGATCAATATATCTAAGTTTCAAGTAAATAGAACAGTCTAAGAAAGCCAGATGTGTGTGTGTGTCTGTGTGCGTGTGTCCGTGTGGATTAGGTTTATACTACATTTTGGGAACCAAATGTTCCCCACAATATAATAAAAACCTGTGCTTTTTTTTTACGCTGTGGGCACCATTTTTCAGGGCCCCACAAAGATCTGTGAATGCGATTAAAAAACTAAAAGTGCCAAAAGTTTTGTATTGTGTTTGGTTACTTATGGTTAAGGTTAGGGCTGGGTAGGGGTTAAGGTTGTCATGTTGGGATTAGGGTTTTCCCCATAGAAGTGAATGGAGAGTCCCCACAAAGATATAGTTACAAACCTGTGTGTGTATGTGTGTGTGTGTGTGTGTGTGTGTGTGTGGGGTGGTGGGGGGTTGCTGCTACAGGCACACTAAGAGATTACTTTCCCTACACATATGATCAGCAGGTCAGATGTGTCCCACTGGCCGCAGCTGCTGAAACTTCCTATCGTTGAAACTTTCCTATTGTTTTTATTTTTTTATTTTATTTGATTTCATTTTCAGATGTACTTCTTTTTCGTTTGATAAATCCCCTGACTTGCAGTTTATGAAGTATTCCATTTACTCTTGGCAGCACGGACCTGCTCGCAATCTTACAATAACATAAGCACATAAACAGGCCCGGTTATATACAATTCTGATTGGCTCATCTGCCCATTAGTCATGCTGTCATGGAATCAGATGTTTTCTATATGGGCCGACTTTAGCGAATGAGGTGATGTTATTTCCTCCACCTTTTCTTCTATTGCCAGCTTAGTGATGTACAATCTATGGCATTGAACTATTCTTCTGTGCTGTGGACCAGAACCAGCGGCAGCAACAGCACAGGATAAAAGTAAGACAACTGGCAGAAACCACTTTCGGTGATGCCCAACTATATTTGCTGTGTAATGTGTTAAAAGAGAGATTATTATATTGCAATGATGCTCGGACAACAAATGACAAGTCGATGAAATATAAATATTTAAAAATGGTAGGAATGTCCATTTAATTACTTATGTTTAACCAGTTAATTAAGCAATAACAGAAATAGGCTTACCTTCATACAAATGTATTAATCTTTTATAAAGTGCATATCTAGAAATTCTGAGCCCCCTGACAAAATGTCACCTTGGGCCCCCCTGTTCAATTTTACATGTATTTTTATGTATTCAAGGGCCCCTGCCAATCGCTGAGCCCCCTGAATCTGCCAGGGCATCCACGCCTCTCCTAAACCTAACCCTAACCCCCGACTTTGATGGATCACTTTAGCCAACAAAGAAATCAGAGGCTGAATGAAACATGTTAGCAAGTGAGAGTACACCTCTTCTGTGAAAAACACCCTTAAAATTAGCATAGCACGTGTTGACACTGATTACCTCACCCTATAACACGTCTGAGGCAGGGTTACTTTAGCAATTAATAAGCAATTGAATATATACTTAGAATTTTAAAAAATATGTTGGGGTCCATTGTTGAAATTCTCTGATGTCCATCCATGCTTCCTTCATGGCAATTTGTCCAACACTGGAACCTGAATATGCCAGAATAGTCTTATGCCAGATACTCACACCTGATGGGCAATTCACAGACACCATCTCACCTACAGGCCATTGGATTACAGGAGGAAAGCTGCACAAACACAGGAGACTGTGGAAACTCCACAAAGACAATCAAGAGGGCAGGATTCAAACCCCCAACTCCGGAGGTGTGAGGCAACACAGTCTGCCCACTGTGTCTCTATCATTAGGAAGGAAATTAATTGAGGTGTCAGAGGTCCAGTATCTAGTCCAGGGTAGCGACTCGTTCGGCACTGTGAGCCCAAAGTGTTTGCCAAACGGACGACGCGCCAACCCATCTGCTCATCTTTCATTCTCCTGCCCTCCAAAGAGCAGTACTCGGGGATCAATGGGGTGGCACCTTTATTGCGACACGTCATGATATCTTGGGAGGGCCATCGCCCCCCTCTTGCTTTCAGGGTGACTTGGGCTGGAGGGCGGTTCGGAATAACCACAGGCTGCCGCTTTGGCCTCAGAATGGGGGGGGGGAGTCCTCCATTACATTCATCCAGCCTCATTGCAAGGTCTTGACATGACCCCCTCTTGAATGGACTGCAGTGTGAACCAGGAATGGCACCAACAAAGAGGGGGGGCATAGCGGTGTTATGCTGCTGTAGTAGGAACTCTATCACTGACATTCAGCTGACGCTACTTTCAAGCAAACAAAAGGAGTTTTAGGGAAGCCACCCGAAAGGAGTCTCCTCTCTAAAATATAGCTAGCAAAAAAAGTGCTAGAGAATCTGAGTCTTACGTATCGCAGAATTAGTAAACGTGTTCCGTAAGTCGCCTGCTTTTTGATGCATTCATCGTGTGCAGCCGTTCCCACTGAGCACATCACGCTCACAGAGGAAAACTGCTCCCTGAAATCAACCCAGGGTGCAATTCTGAGAGCATGCAGGATTCCAGGAAAGGATCTCTAGATCACCGGATCATCTGATTCTTCAGCTGAGATTTTTTTTCTAGTTTACAAGGCCACAAAAGACAGCGAATCCATGAAATAAATGGGGCTGCATCATTCATTACCCAAAATTGTATGCCTGCCTTTTTTGAGAGCACTACACACGATCCTTCCACGCAACAGCAGAAGCGTGCTGAGAAATGTATGTGGGATTGTCAGATGATCTCCCCAAGACAACAAGCTGGGTCATATGAGCCGCATGTCTTATACCTGTGTCAGCATTTCTGTCATTTGTGCAATGTTCTCTGTGTAATGGGGCTCAGAGGTGATGTATGTGATGGAAGGGACCTGTTACTGATCTTGTTTGGATACCTGACTGGTTTGGTTAAAAAAAAAATGCTCAGATATATTAAAAATAAAAGCAGCCTAATAAGCTAGTTAGTATGTGGTCTAGATGTTTCATGAGCTTTAATATGTGGCTGACACAGCTACACAGGCTATCACGGCTAGTATTTCCTCAAGCACCTTGCACCTTAATCGCCATGCCACGCTAGTTACATTGAAAGTGAATTGCTGCCTTTGGCTTCATTTAACGTCTTCCCTCTCAACTCCGGCCCGCCCCCGCCCCCTTCTTCCACAACCGACATCTATAGATTTATATAAATAAAAGAAAACGAAGAAAAACATTCTCCAATGCCGAGAAATAATCGCTGTAGTCAGCTTCAAATACTTCAGCCGGCAGCAATTAGAGCCGTTGCTTCTAAAAATAGACCCGCTAATATCACATCACCGAGAAATAGTACCGCAGGATCTAAGTGGTGCTTTATATAAGAAACGGGCGCCAGTTATGTCATCGATTGAAGGCAATTTGTTTCCGCAGATCGGGAGTCCCGTCATCGCCGCCCAGATAGCGGATAAACTAAATCTGATAAGAAAAAATATATCCACACACGAGGATCCTAATATTGCAGCTGTTCTGTCAATGTGAAAAGCATGGTGATCAGTGAAAACACACAATCACCAACCGGATGAGGTCAACGCCGCACAGATCCCGGTACCAGGAGCTGTATTAAATAAATGAACTGCGCCTTTTTTCAGTCCCACGCTTCCCCCAGTAAAAATGGTACCTCAAGACGCATCGATGCGTAATAATGTTTCCACCACTGCTATATATATATATTTTTTTTTTCCCCCTGCGGCAAGAAAACAGAAAACGTAAAGCCCTTTAAGAGACGTATAAATAGTAGTGATCGCCGATATACTGTAGCGACACAGAAAGCAAACAGCGAGGAAACGATCAAACGCGCATATGCGGACGAGGTTAAACTGCGGCTGCGACGCGCGTCGATAGACGCGTTTTAACAGACTGAACTCATGGCGCTTGGGCCATCAGTGCATCATGGTCTGTGTGCTACCAAGCTTTTTTTTTTTGGTGTGGAAAAAGTAAAAAAAGGAACAATTTGGCTCATTGCAATCAGCCTTTAAATTGTATTGCGTGACGCTATCGCTGGCTACGGCAAGTCCCGAATGATATAATCTGTCAAACTTTTGGTGATCACAATTCAATTGACTGGGCAACGGGGTTTGATGTGTACCCTGCGGTATTAACAGTTGAGCTGTATACATCACAGCATCCAAAGCGCCTCTCAGATTTCCGAAATAAGCAGGATTGACGCAGGCTCCCGAACTCGAGAGAAATCACGCTATGAGAGAATGGGGATGTTTGTAAGACAACAGTAAACAAACAATAAACGTGAAATGCAAAAATATCAAAGCAATACCTTGCAAATCTGAAAGTTTTCGGAAACAAGCGTTTCCACTACTTCGATTTCTCTGGGAGTCGGCGCCGCAGTTGGGGTACCGGCCGTGCTACTACACAGCGGGGCGCCGCCGATATTGACCGGAGATGATGTTGTCAATCCGTCCAGAACCTTTCGAAACTTCTTCATTTTGGAGATAATGTGGGGGGAATATTAATGATGGCTTAAACTTGATTCCGGGGCAAGTGAAATTGCATTGATAAAAAAAGACGAAGGCGAAGTCAGGAAAACCCTCCCAGGAACTGAACGCTGTCGTGTCTGCGGCTCCTCGCTCTCTTCCCCCTGTAATTCTAAGTGCAATTCAAAAAGTCGTAGAGGAACTTCATCTTGATAAGAAATCTTATGTCCACCAAATACTTTAGGCTATATGTGACGTAATTACGAAAGTAATCTATAATTAAAATAAGAATGAAATGTGAACTAAGAATACCGAATGCGAACAAAACACTGACTGGATGTGTTAAAATGTACGGTGGGTTAAGCCTAATCTAGGGAATTTCATGTTTTCCAGCATGATAATGCAGCTCCCTAAAAGCATTGCACATCGACATGCAATGGTTATCTGAACCTAACTAAAAGAAAACGTCTCCCGAATATGTAACTTATTTAATAATTAACCACGTGCCGACAGATATGTTCTATTTGCATCAAAACGATTAGAGGAAGGAAACATGGCACATAAGCTTGCTGCTGAAGACCCAGGAGGCTTATTCCGACCCTCAAGACAAAGGGGAAAAAATCAGAAGCCGCACAAATGTGAAGTTTGAGAAGTTGATTGTGTCTTCGAGCAGTGTTTAAGATCCAGTGCGTTAAATTCCTCTTCCAGCCCAGCCTTCCTGCAGTGGGGTATCAGTCGCTGTCCGAGGTACTGAAATCTAACGCCTCCTCCTCTCATCTAACCCTCTTCTGAAGTCTCTCCTCCCATTCCCAGCTCCGATTGGGCGCAATGTGAAAAGACCAGCTACGGACCAGTGATAAGAAGGAATGAAATCATCATTTGTATTGATTTCAGAGCTGCATCGGCTCCACGTTTGAAGCGTTTGAAGCTCTGAAAGTATTTGTATTCACCCTTCTCCCGACTGACAGACACCACGAATGGCGTATTATGGATGCGTCTGTAGTGTAGGGGTAAGATTGCTGAGCCGATTGGTCGACTCTACCCTTTCCCAGCTGTTTGTACTTGACAGATGTGTAATTAATCACCGTCTAAACGACGCAAGAGGAAGTGGGGCTCATCACTGTGTCTCAGCGGCAGAGGAGTCGTCTGCGGTTTGATCTCGTGTTTTACGGGGGAAATACGGGAATTAGATATTGCATATGTTGATTAAACATCTATTCAACAATATCTGTAGTTTTATTTTTAAAAAATAATTGTTTTATGTGAATTAGTCATATCCCCAGACGCAGTGTTGCGTAACTTTCGTCGTCACCTTACAAACTACAATATTAATCTTCAACGTTATTTCAAGGCACATGTAGGATAGTAACACTGACAAGTACCTCATGTAAATTTGTATTTTTATTATAATAATTACAAGCCTTTTTTATAGGACAGCGTGAACGTTCTTTTTTCTGTGTCTGGTCTGAATGGACGACACGTTCGTTTTGCTACTTATAGTTTTGCGGTCTCATTTACAAATCGGAGTCCAGATTACAAGTCGCATTTTTACAAACAATTTCATATAATGAATGCGTTAAACTTTGCCTAACACAGATTTTCAGCAATGCCAGTTTATTGTGCAGACTGAATGAAGCTTCATCTTTATATACGCTTAAACATCGTACTTCAGGTTCTCCTTAAAGGAAGTGCGGGCTTTAATTAAAGCCTAATGGTCCCTGAGAAGTATGTAACACAATGATATGTCCTTATTAGCTCTTATAAACAACCTCCACACATCCCACAAGGTTATAATGAACTCAGCTCAGACCAACAGAGCAAAGGCCAGAAGAAGTGAAGTTGGGACTCTGATGCTTTTACAAGGCACAGACAGGTGGCCTCTGTAATCTTTCCTAATGAGGGAACACAGGGCTGGTGGCATAGCGCCCATCTAAAGATGCCCCTCCCCCACGCATGGGTGCAGAGATTTTAGTCTCGTCACTGCAGGAACCAATGGCCATCCAGCTGTCACAAGCACCCCTCACCCATCTTTTGAATGGACGTGTAGAAAAAAGAATCAAACAGGCTAAACACTTGCTCCTACAACCCAGCACACCAGCTAACCAGATGCCTGTCCATGCACATCCACACGGGTCTCTGTTATCCCCTCTGCACCGGCATAGAAAGATGGGCTACAGATCTACTCCATGGCATGCGGTGCTGTCTGTCCCTTTTTGCATATGGGATACCAGCAACCACCCAGGGAAGGGCATGCGATGGCACACAAGCCCTTGTGGCATGCAGACACGCTTTGGGCGCCCAGGGAAGGGCATGCGATGGCACACAGCGCCCTTGTTGCATGCAGACACGCTTTGGGCGCCCAGGGAAGGGCATGAGATGGCACACAGGCGCCCTTGTGGCATGCAGACACGCTTTGGGCGCCCGGCGCCCAAGGAGACACATAATCATATGCACATAAAGAGCCGATTAAAGGTCCCCTGGGCCTTGGTTAGCAGTGACTGCAACGGTGATCACACAAATTTCACGATGCGCTCATTATAAGAGATCAGCAGCTTCTCTGACTTATCAAAAACATGGTATTATATTACAAAGCTTTAAAGCGGAGGATTATTATTAGGGGATTATTAATGTTCATTTTAATGTCCACTATGCCATTACATTAACAACTGTATGCAACATAAATGAAGAAAATGTTTATTCTAATGCAAATATTTACTGTACATTTTAAAACAATAGAATACGATGACTTCACAAAGTATAATAGCTCATTAATTCTGTATACTGAAATTCCATATGCAGGAAACACATGCATGCTCACAGGAAAAACTTTGTAAATGTGTTGTTGTATGTTCACTGTGTAGAGTGTTTCCATAGCAGCATGGCAAGTGTTTTCCACTGGATACCTTTGAACACAGACATAAAATCAACCCATGTAGTTCACATTGAATGTTGACTCATTTGTACAAAACAAACATTTATGTGTGTAAAACAGCACAGGCGCAATAAAACAGGGAGAGAAAATGGCGTTAATGGTAATGGACTCTGGCCTAACTGACAGCGAGCCAAACGAGTTCTGTAAGGAAAAACCCTTAATCAGGCTGCCCTTTATGTTACAAATACTCTGCTCTCTTTCGTCCAGGTTCCTATATAGTTCTGAGACAGGTGCATATAAAGTGCTGTAACACATGTGCACATTGTTTGATAACTGGTGCATATATAATGTAACAGTTTTGAATAGAAATCATTATTACATGTTTACACAACACTGAAGGACTTCGTGTAACACTGGTGTTTACAGCGCTCTAACAGCTGTGCACATATTGCTATCACATTTTGTGTATAGTGTTTTAACAGGAGTCTTTATACTGCTGTATAGGATGTGTGTATAGCAGGTTTTTACATAACATTGTAACAGATGTATGAAAAGTACAGTGACAGGTTTGTACACAGCACTGTAACAAATGTGTGAATGGTGCAGTGGCGGATTTGTACACAGCGCTGTAGCAGATGTATATATTGCGCAGTGACAGGTTTGTACAGTACACAGTGCTGTAACAGATGTGTGTATATTGCAGTGACAGGTTTGTACACAGCACTGTAACAAATGTGTGAATGGTGCAGTGGCGGATTTGTACACAGCGCTGTAGCAGATGTATATATTGCGCAGTGACAGGTTTGTACAGTACACAGTGCTGTAACAGATGTGTGTATATTGCAGTGACAGGTTTGTACACAGTCCTGTAACAAATGTGTGAATAGCACAGTGACAGGTTTGTACAGAGCACTGTAACAAATATGTGCACAATACAGTGACAGGTTTGTACACAAAATTAACAGGAGTGAGGATAGTGCACTGGCAGGTTTGTACACAGCACTATAACAAATGTGTGAATAGTGCAGTGACAGGTTAGTACACAGCGATGTAAGAAATATGTGCACAGCGCAGTGACAAGTTTGTACACCGTGCTGTAACAAATGCATCTATAGTTACATAACATTGGTGTTTACCGCTTTGTAACATTTGTGTTTGCTGTGGTGTCACAGATGTACATTGAGTGCTTTAACAGGTTTCCATTGTACACGTTTTCATCATCGGGGGTGTGATCCCCGACAGAAGTGTTTTGTGAAGATGCTCTATAACATGTCAGAGATGACAAACAACCCTTTTATGGAGCTTTTATCATGACAAAGGACTAAGTGCCATGAAAGGAATGGTGCCTTTGGACTGGAAGTGCTTAAACCTAAAAGTGTAGGATTCATCTCAAGGTTCCTCACTCTACGACTGAGAAAGACGTCAGCTCATTATCGCTTCACTTTGATAAGACAGTCTTAGGCGCTATTTTGCATTTGAGAGTCACACGCTCTTCCTCGTGGCGGTGGCCCGTTGCACCAGTGCTAACTGGTCCTGTCTTATCACGAGGGTTCTGAGCTCCGAGGTGCCACAGTCCAGCCCTCCGGGACAGCGCCACACCGGCACTGCACACATTACAATTTGTTTCCTGACAGAACCCATCCTACCAGCCGTAAGCCTCTCTGAGAATCAGGCGGCCTTGGTTGTCAGGTCCAGCCATGTCCCCAAATAGGGAACATGACCTTCAATTTATCGCAGGGAAGAAATCAGCGGTCTGTGCTCTGCCTAAAAATAATACACGTTGCTGTATGTTTTGTAACAGAAAGCACACAGGAAAACTGATAAACGAGGAAGTTCCATTTTTGAAATTTAACCTCAAAGTCAGGAGGAGCTGAAGTCTAGTAAAGATGCTCGTTAATAGTCACAACTCAGTCAAATGAGGGAAAGGGGCTTATTTTCTTAAATATCCCTTAGAAAACTGAACTCTCTATCCTGGTTAATAGGGTAACTTTACTGGGGGCAGCAGCTGAGTGATGCTGGGTCTGATTTACACATAAATGGCCTGAAAGACTGTTAATGAATACATTTCCCTTTGGGTTATTGCATTGCCCTAACAAATCAGCTGTTGAATGGCAAAGCTTGAAAAGTGTTTTTCCGAGACAGAGCAAGATGAGCATATCAATCAGAGCCTCACTGAGCTCACATGACACACAGCACGAAGAAGCGCCGCTAAATGCCGTCACGGCAAATGTTGCGGATTCCAGATTCCAGTAGGAGCAAATAAACAGACATATTTCTACCTAGAGTGGCTCAGTGGGTGGTGCTGCGATGTCACTGCTCCAGGGAGGTGGGTTTGGTTCCTGTGTAAAGCTTTGTGAGGAGGGCCAGTCCAAGGCATAAGTAAACTAACCGGCTGCTTGGGGCCCAGTGGCCACCAGGGGCCCCCGCATCTGATCAGCTTGTCAGGCTGGGACAGAATACGACCGATGATAACTAGGTTAATCAGATTTTGCTCAGTGTTCCAAAAAGTTGTGGACTGGCCCTCTTGGTGAGCGTGGCGTTCCTCCTGTCTTCATGTGGGTTTTGGCCACGTTCCAGGATATCAGGACATTCTGCCACTGTTCCGAGGTATTTTGATTGCCCCCCTGCGCTATGTTTTCTGCCACCTGCGGGGGGCGGGGGGGGGGCGGGTTGTCACCATGGTCTCCCCACCCCCGTATTGGCTAGTAAAAGGATTGATGGATAGTACTAACTGCTAATCCAGTGAGAATTAGCAGTGAGAATAAGGGAAGGCCAAGGGTCCAGGGCTAAGGTGCCTAGATGGAAAGCCAGGCCATTATGGGCAGTGAACGCTCACACCGTTACGCAGTGAAGGAAACAAAGAGCCACCGATTCCATTTTTGTATTGGGAGGATAGGGTGGAGTGTCAGGAGTGTATAAAGCAGACATTAAAAAATAAAACCCTTCAGAGGCACAGCGGAGCTGCGAGGTAACAGAAATAGCATCATTAATACGTCTTGCCCCAATCAGCATGGTGACACAGCTTGGATCCGATCATAGGCGCTTGACCACAGCATGGATAAATCCAGATGTTTATATTAGCTGATTGATCCCATTGATTTGACAAGATACTAATGACGCAATAATTGTGAAGACATCATGCTACAGTAAG